GAGTACATGAGAATTCTGCTAGTGAGCGGGAGAACTCACACAACCACTTTGGGAAAACGCGTTGCCTACACCTGGTAAAGTTGAACAAGTGTATACTTCACATCCCATTAATTTTACACCTGGACAAATTCTATACACATGCGCCAGGAGATATGCCCAAGAGAGTTCACAGCAATATTGTCCACATTGGCCCCAAGCTGGAAACAACCCAAATGCCTACGGATAGTGGAGTGAGATACACATACAGCAGCGAAATGCTCCATGACACTTTAGAAGTGGCCCACAGAAGATTCCACACAGTATGACTGCATTTATATAAGTTTCAAAAACAGGCTCAACTAAGCAATATCTTGTTTAGAAATGCACACATAGCTGGTAAAACTGCAAGAAAAATGAGGAAATGAATAACAAAATCTAGCTGGAGATCCATGGGATGAGGACGAGGCACATTAGTAGCTGTTAATCAGAGGCTGCTAATGTTCTGTTTCCTTTCCTGAGAGATAGATCCATGGGAATTCCTGAACATACATATTTTGAACACTTTTTGTAATATGATATATTTTATAATCGGAACAAAATAAAAACATCAAAGAGTTTCAGCTCTCGCTGCTCCAGGTAGGGTGTGATGAAGAGCTGGGTCCCCAAGCTGAGCAGTTGGCGGGGGGTGGGTGTGGGCAGATTTGCCGGGGGTTCTGGCAGGTGTGCCAGCTGTAATTATGGACGCTACCAGAGAGAAGACTGCAGGGACCTCTTCTCTACAGGCGGAGAGTGGTCCTCACCGTTAGGGAGAATGGCCAGACAGTCACTGGTGAAGCTGTTATATCAAAGTGTAAAAAACCCACATTCCTTTCAAACGATATTGCTCAAAGTCAAGCACACCTAACAATTGAGCAGCATTTGTGCCTGTCTTCAAAGGCCATATAAGATTGTATCACCTGGTTTACAAGTTAAAGTGTGTGGAGGTGATGGGGAAGTCTTGTGGGTAAAGGGAGAAAGTCTTATTTAAAAGCGGTATTTGCTTTGGGGCAGGGGCTCAAACTTCATAAGGTGGGACTGTCTTGGGCAACAGGAGGAGAGGTCCACCTGAGGTGAAGACAATAAGGGTGTTTGTATGTAGAGAATTTTAAAAAACAAGAATAAAGCCAGACTTGGTCTGCTTTTTATATCCCCATGAGCCTGCAGCCACAGACACTGTCAGTGGCGAAGTCTCCTCCCCTTCCCCAGGCCGACATCCCCCACCCTTGGTGCCATGCAGATCCTGGAGATGCCCACCAGGCAGGGCAGGATTCATTTCTGCGCCCCCTCTGGGTCCCAGCACAGCTCCTGGCACATGGTAGGTGCCCAGGCAATGCTTACTGTTTTAGGCATTATTAAGCTTTCATGCCCAGGTAAACTGTAAAATCGGATATTACAGAGGACAAGAAGCTGAGGCATGAAGGACACAGGAGGGAGGGCGAGTGAGAACACAGGTGGACCCGGGTCAGGCCCGGACTCCGCCACTGGCTTGGCTTGAGCACGTGGTTTCCGCATCTGGGATCCCGTAGGATCGACGTTGGTGATAAATGGTCGTGCACATCAACATGAGGCTGGACACAGAGGAAGTGCCCAACACTCATGGACTCTGAGGTCCACGCACCAGTGACAGGGTAGGGGAGACAAAGAAAATGAATATGATTTTAACTTGGGGAGGAAACGCCAGCAGTGTTTTGGGAGAGCAAACCTGAGCCCTGGGTCTCATCTAGACTGGCATCTAAATCACGGCTCTGCCACATACTGCCCGTGTAACCTGAGAGAAACCGATAATGACACCCACTTTGCAGGGATCTGGTGAGGATTAAATGACGCGAGTTCATTCATTTACTATTCATTCAGCAATTATTTACCGAGTGCCTAATACATGCCTAGTATGGTCCCTGGTCATGCAATAAATGTTAATTCCTCTCTCCCTTTGAAAGATAGGACTAATGGCTGGACACTAACATTAAAAGAGCAAATGGAATTCAATAGAAGGGCTTGGGAAAGTAATGCTCTTGTCACAAAATGTTACTTCGACCTGGAAATCCTCTAACATGGGTACAGAACTGATTTCTGCACCCAAGGATAAAAGAAGAAAAAATCAGAAATTATATGGTCCAATATTTATTGAGCCTGCAACATGTCATGGATGGAGAGGACCAATGAAGACATTGTCCTTGCCCTTAGGAGCTTGAACCCTAGGGCAGGAGTCTAACGTCCACACAGACAGCTACAGTAGCATACGTGGGTGTGGTGGCCCAGGGCTGCAGGGCGGCAGGGAAGCAGTCACTCGATGTCCAGGGCTCTCGCGATGTTTCCTGCAGGAGATAACCCATGAGCTGACTCTGTAAGGGTGCCTAGGAGTAGCCGGGTGGGGAAAGGAGGAACAGCACAGGCAGATGCAAAAGCACAGGATGGAGGGCGCTCAAGCAGCGCATGGCCTTTTCGGGGACTCCTGATTATCCACTGGGACATATGTCACCTCACCAGACATGGGGACACCACACGGTTTCCTGGCAGCAGCCTGGAGCAGATGAGATGGAGCATGTTGGGCTGGACCATGCAGACAAGGGGCACAGAGCATGGCAGAGGCTGCAGCAATCACCACAGGGTGACTCTGAAGGTACAGTCACAGGGGCCAGGAGCAGTGACCAGGAGCCCAGACCTCAGCCATTATTACCTAAAAAGCTACCAGTTGGATGGAAATCAAGGCAACAGCTGATCTAAGGGACGGGGGAGTAGGCATTGCTCTGGGGACCTGTCCGAGGGGCCATGATCACAGCCACCAGACTGGGGTCCCGGACAAGGAACCTGTGCGAGAGGAGAGACTAGGGCAGGGCAGGGTGATCTGGGACACTTAGAAGAGGGGAGCAAGGCAGGAGCCCTGTCCTGTAAGCTTGGCTAACAAAGGCAGCCAGGGAAGGGCTGTACCCCGGCTCAGCCCTGGAGACCCCGGATCTCAGAACTGTGTGGGCAAATCTTAGACTGTAGATCTCAGCTCAGATGTGACCTGCACTGAGGGAGCGTCTCTGACCACACTGCGCAGCAGTTCCCTTACCCCCACCTTTCACCTTTAGCCGTGCGCTGTCTCCTTTCCAGCACCCATCATTGTCTGCAGTGATCTCATTTGTACAGTTGCTCACTGCCTGCCTCCCCCAGTAGATGTGAGCCCGGTAAAGCAGAGCCCTGACTCTCGTCCCTGCTGTGTCCAGCCTGGCCCCGGCCAGGCACACTGTAGACACTTGGTGTGTGCTGAGTGACACAAGAGCAGCAGGAAGACTCCAGAGCCACATGGGGTTCAGAGGCCAAGGGGGAGTCAGAGGAGACCTGGTCTGAGCACACATGGCTTTTAGGGTGCTCTGTTGTTCCTGTCGCGGGCAGGACCCATTCAGAAAACAGAGTGGGCCTGAGCTGTGGGGTGACAGTGGACTTCTGGGGATCCCACAGGAGGAGCTGGCATGGCCGAGGCACCCAGAGACTGAATTGGGGTGGGGATGACAGGAGATGAAGGAGTCTTCTTACTGTGCTGATGAGTAGGGACTTTATTCTTTGGGGGAAGCAGCCGGTAGTTCTTAAGCAAGGGAGGTGACAGGATAGGATCCCTAATTTAGAAAGATGAGGCTGGTTTCCGTGTGCAGGAAGCAAGAAGACCAGGTAGAAGACGGTGCAGGTAAGAGCTGACACTGGCCTGAACTGAGGCAGGGACCATGAGTTTGCAGAGGGAAAGGGGTGGCTGCGAAGACCAAATACTTTCCTGAGGATAAAACCGGCACAGACGCAAGATTGAGTACCTAGGGAGGACTTTGGTTATCTGGGCGCCAGTAGGCGAGCTCATTCTGCTAAAAGGAGACCACAGTGTTTGCTAAATTCTCGACTTATCCAGCTCACACGAGGAAAGAAAGGGCTGAGAAGGCACAGGAGGGGAAAGAGCACGCGCTGACCAGAGGGGAGACGCACACGGCTGCACTGAGAGCGAGGCGCATCCCCATACTACAGATGCAGAGACTGAGGCTCCATTTCTTTGCCTGAAGTCACACAGCTGGTACGCAGGGGGCCATCCCTCCCCTGGACTCTGAGGGAGCTCTCGCTGGGGTGTGGATGCAGCATAGACCCTCCCGGCTGAGACCTCCAAGGATGGAAACAGGCCGAAGCAGGTTGTGCTCTGGACTGAGGAAGAGCAGATTTTAGAGTGAGGAAGACATTGTGACTGCAGTCGGGTGCTGGTCGTACTCGCATGAGGGTCCTGACCTCTCCCTCCCTCCCCACCTGACCCCATCCCCAGCTGCCTGCCCCAGTCCCATCCCAAACCCAGCTTGGCGTGCACGACAGGCTGGGTCGTTAGGGCATGTGCAGATTTTCTTCAAATAGAATGACGCAGGTGCAACCCAAAGCTTCCAGGAACGTTCAGCTTATTCTGTTTATCTCAGACTGCGTGCATGCAGTCTCGGCCCATTTCAGGCCTTGCTTCGGGACTCAGAGCTGCTTAGAATGAGTCTAAAGACCTGTAAAGTGAGGATAATAATTGTTCCTGCCTCATGTGGTGAATGCGAGCAGTAGGTGAGATAAGGCCTGTGAAAGGCCCCAAACAGGATTTATCTCAAAGTGAGAACCTAGCACCAGGGTCAGAATCCTCCTTCTGATGCAGCCCTCCTGCGAGCACTTAGGGCAGGGACAAGCTCTTCTCTGCTGCCATCTGGTGTGCATCTTGGGAATAACACCCGTCTCCAAAGGCTTTTGAGCCGATGACCAATGAATGTGTTGCACCTGGGCCCGTGCTCCAGATGCCATCACTTGTGCGCTCGACGCTGCCCACTGGCATGCGGACTCGTTGATGTGAGACCCGGCACAGGGGCTGGCGAATCCTGAACCGACCACCTTCCCATCTGGCTCTGACCTGTGCATGCCTCATGCCAGCTTCCCCTCTTGGTTCCCCAGGGAGTCAACAGTGTGCTTAGAGAGCCTCTTAAGTCACCACATCTACTGTGCAAACCAAAGATTTATTTTGCAAGTGAAAGAGGCCTCCCAGGAGACTCAGAAGGAAGGAAGCAAAGGCTGAGAGCAGAAAGCTTGGATAGGAAAGACCACAGAGAGGCGGGCGGGAGCCCGATAGTCCCCAGGAAAGTGGAGGAGGCAGGCTGCAGCGGATCCCAGGCCCGGCCTTGGGGACTCAATTCCAGGTGCAGCATTTGCAGGAGGAGCTGAACACCAGGCCTGCCGGGCAGTTTTGCTGGAACAGCTGCCCCCCGGCACAGCTGTAGAAGCTGGACGGTTCCTGGGGGTTGGGATAGAGCCCATCAGCCTTGCCCTTGCAGAAGGTGTCTTGTCCAGGGTCGGGGCCATGCTCAGGTTTAGAGGGAAGACCTGTGGTTTGAACTCCAGGCTCTGAGGGGCCTGAAGGCACATCTGGAAGACCTGGAAAGACAGTGAAGATTCAACCAAGGCTCCCCCAAGAAATCACAAACCTGCAGGCCGAGTATACAGGCAGTAACCACAGGCAGGCAGCAGCCCAGCAGCCCATACCCTACAGGCAGAGCACAGCCCGGTGCCCCAGGCAGAGAACAGCCAGGCAGCAGCCGCCACAGCTGGAGCATAGCTGAGCTCCACAGTAACAGGCTGTCCGTGGCCATATACGCTGGCAAAGCCCAACTACGTGCTGGTGAGGGGAGGCGGGGGTCCCACTCTGCAGGCTGCGTGCGGGCTTTCTCCCTGATGAGAGAGGAGCAAGCTACGCTTCCCAAGCCGAGGCCCTTCTGAAGGGAAGCCACGGTTACAACACCCTGGGCAGGCATTGCTACAACCAGGAAAAGAAAGAAGAGAGCAAAAAGAGAATTCTTTTGACAGTTTCCTTAGCTCTTGGGGGGTGCATGGAACTTGGGAAATCACGGTGTCGAGGCAAAGTCATTTCCTCAGAAGGACCCAGCATGGTTCATTGTTTATGTCCCACCTCCAAATTCCGGCTCTGGTCCCTGGCCCCTCACTCACTCAGCTCCTGCCGCAGCGTCTGGATGAGGGGGTATCGGCCCTGGTTGCAGAAGAAGCCAGCAAAGTCGTCCAAGGCCAGTGCCCAGACCATGGCCCCACCCAGGCCCTTCTGCTTCAGATAGGCGACCTGCGCAGCGAGGAGAGGCAGGTGGAGGAGCTGGGGTGAGTTCAGCTGGGCCGGCCCCAGAGCCCAGCTTCCTCATCTGGACCCCTTTTTTCCGGCACCCTCGGGCCTGAGCCCTGACCCTGTTGGGAATCAGTCCTTTTGCAGTCCCTTCGTCCTGACATAAGCACAGCCTGGGGTGGGGGGCAGGGGATCGGGGAGGAATAGTGTCAGATGTGTGAACCTCCCTAAGTTGGAAGCCTTCAGACCTTGGTCATTTCTAGGCCGAGTTGCTTTATTTGAGGGTACTGTCTGCTGGCTGTGATAAGTGCAGTTAGCACAGGGAATGACGGAGTTTCCCAAAAGACCTGAATCAAGTTTTGCTTCCTCATCTTTATGTCTTTGTCCTCCCTGAGAGCCATCTCTCCTCTGCCAGATTCCTGACGTTTCCTCGGGGCATGGCTGTGTGTTCCCTCTGATTGGGCTTTTCTGTCCCTGAACCCTGCCAGGGGCCATGGTGCTCATCCTAGGAGTGGGGCTGGGGGCTTGAGGGTAGGGGAGGTCTGGACCCTTGGCTGGCCCCAGTCTCCCCCTCCAGCTACCTCCCTTTCTGTGTCCACAGAAGGCCCCTGCTCAGGGCCAGCTATGTGGGCCTGCACCTTGTTCTCAGAGTCCATCCTCCACTTTTTTCTCCACCGTGTCTTCACTTGGGCAATGCCCTCCGACCAGAGTGCCAACCTTCTATGCTTTAAGACTTATCAGACATTCCCTTCTGCCATGACCCTGTCTCCTCTCTCCCCCAGCCAGGATCCCACTCCCCCCTCGATTCTCCTGGAGCACTTTGTCTCCACCTGTAGAACCTGCCACTGTCAGGCACACGCAATGACTGATACGGGATGTCCGGATAAGCAAGTGCGGTGCCCCTCTTCAGGAGCTAACCATCTCACGGGGAGAGTGGCACGGAAACAAATAAAAGCCTTAAAGCTTTGGGCCACCAATATGGGCAGGAGGAGAGGGTCTTATAAGTAAATCAAAAGGCCTATAGGTTGAATAGATATTGCCAATTGGCTGAATAAAACCATATGCCTCACTGTACATATTTCTCCTCTTCATATGTCTATAGAATTTGTATAGTATATAATAAAATACAAATTCTTTCAAGAATGCTACTCAATGTAGAGCAATCTTTTTGTCATTGTCTTTTCTCAGTCAATAGGTAGTAAAGATGCGAAATGCTATCATATGGAGATCTGTGAAATGTTGGGACATTTAAAAGGAGACTCCCCCTCAAGGAGGTTGTGAATGTGCTTATTCCGCGTCACGGACAGGCTAGATGGCCCGGGACCACCCCCCTCCCAGCAGGGCTGAGCCTCACCTTGGCTTTGAAGCTCTCCACGTCATCAAAGCCCACCCACTGGTTGTTCTGGACAATGTAGGGCACCTTCTGGTCCTGGGTTCTGTGCACAGTGGCCCCCTTCCAGGAGCAGACCTGTGGGAGCGGAGGAGAGCGCTGGGGCGGAGGAGGGAGGCTCCTGGCCCTCCCCACCAGGAGGAGACTGGGGATTGGAAAATTCCTCTCTGAGGAAGCCTGGAGAATCTAGGAGGTTCTAGATTGAATAATCTAGAATGCTGGACTCGGCTCGAGGCACCTGGCCTTAAGGATACATGCAAGATGGAATAAATGAGGTGGAATTCACTTGGCCAGAATTCTCCGTGCCTGGCATCCTCAGCCAACAACTGTGGGAGAAGGAACCCTCCCCATTCCCAGGCAGCCCCTGCCCCCCACAATACCCAGGGTGGCTGTGGGTTTCCTACCTCATAGTAAGCCAGCACCCCTGCTTCCTTGGTGAAGCGGCCAGGGCTGCCAGGCCCTGTGGCTGGGGCCCCCACCCTGGTGTCTGATGAGGAGGCCAGAGTGAAGGATCGTCCGTAGGTGGGCATGCCAAGTATCAGTTTGTTGGCGGGGGTCCCCTTCTTCAGCCACAGCTGTACGGCAGCATCCTGGTGGTTGAGAAGGGGGGCAGAGCTTCTTTTCTCTGCCCTCAGCCTGGCTCTGGTCGTCTAAGACTGGGGGCTCCAGAGACAGAGCTAGGAGGGCAGGGGCTCCTCAGCTGGAGCTTCAAGGGCCTTCATGAATATTCCAGCCCTACCCCATCTTCTTTAGAGCCTGTCTTGGACCCTCGACCCCAGTGAGAGAAGCTGCATGGCGTGGTAGCCAAAGAGCATGGGCTTTGGAGTCAGACAGCCTTTCGCTGAACAGCCCACTGTGTGCCGGGCTCTGTCCTAGAGCTTGGGGTACATCAGTGAACGAAGACATAGGTCCCTGCCTTACTTACTCAGCAACTTACTTAACCTCGCTGGGCCTTGGGTTTCCATTCTGTAAAATGGAAATGATGAAAATATCCATCCCTAAGGGCATTGTAAGAACTGAAGGTTATAATACATGTATAAGGTCCAGCATCATGCAATAAAGGGTAGCTAGGATCATCATCACTATTTCTGTTGTTTTAGGTTTCACCCTGAGTGCAAGAGCAGGGAATTGGATCTGTTTTATTTATCTCTGTATCCCCAGTGCCTAGAACAGTGCCTGACACATAGATGCTCAAATAGAACAAAGACTTGCTCACCCACCTCTGAACAAGACCTTCTCCTGATCACGTGTTACTTAACACAAAACCCTAGGCCTGTGGCGTGAGAACGTACCCAGTGTAAGCATGTTGAATAAATAGATAATGAAGATTCTTCCCTCAAGCCAGGAGTTCATCTCACTTTTCCCAAGAAGCTGCTTTAGTTGTATCAGGTCTAGTTACTCTGTACCCACTCAGTGCTTAGGTAAAGAACAGTTTTCACCATATTGATGGATATTTATTTCTTTTTACCAGTCTACATCGTTAATCTGTGACCAAACTGGAGTTTTCTGAGGTCAGGGCCTTTCCTAACTTATATGGCACTTCCGTGCAAGTTTGGAAAAGTCACCCCTCTGGCCGGAAGCAATCCCCAGACACACCGTGTAGCAAGCAGAAGGCCTCTTTGCAGGAAGAAGGTGGCCTCCCGTCCTCAAGGGATCCAGGCACACGGCGTGGCCAGCAGAGTGCTGGTGGGATGCCAACCCCACTGACCTCTCAGCGGCCTGTCTCTGTGTGTTTCCCACTCGGTTGGGGGCTCTCCAGGGACACGGCTTCCTCCAGAACCCACACAGTTCTCCCGATGGGGCTGGAGGGGTCAAGCTCAGTGTGAAACACACACACCTGACTCCTCAGCCCACAGGTGTGTGCTTATTTGTGAAAGAGCCAGAAAGTAAAATCTGTCCTACTCCAGCTGACACACAGAGATGCAGGCTCCCCAAAAGTAACAAAAATTCTAATTTAGAGCTTCTCGTTGCTGTTTGTTTGAAGAAAAAGAAATAATATGGTTATTCCTGACTTTTAAAATATAGAGTGGGCTTATAAAAAGTATCTAGATTGCTCAATGCGGAAGAGCTGGGCAGGAAACACCAGCCCAGCCCAATCTAAACCAAGCCTGACCTTGGCAGGGGCTGGGGGTGGTTTTGTCCTGAGTGACAACCCTGGGATGTTATCAACTTGGGAAGGCTCTCACCCCTGAAAACACCATCCAGAAGGTCAACCAGTGACCAGGGGACAAAAGTCTGCCCATTGTCGTGAAGGCAATGGGTGGGGGTGTGAGGAAGCAGGAGCCACGCTGGCTGCAGACAAGGGGACTTCCCAATCAGCCACTTGTCTGATGTCATCGCACTGGTTTGCTGTGTTTACTCTCAGCCAAGATGCTCCACAGAAGTGTGGTTTCCCCTCAGCTTTGCCATGGAACAGGAAAGTAAAACAAATATGCAAAGAAACAAAAAATTCCGGTTTCTTAGTTCCCTGTTCGTTTTCCTGTATCTTTTCTTTTTTTCCATGAGGGCCTTGATGTTCAAAAGAGGCCACCAGACAGCACCTGCTGGACAGGGCAGTCCTGCCTCCTCCCTCCAGCCACCTACCACATTGAGTTGGGCCGCCGCGCCACTCTCCCCCTGCCTCTTGTAGAGGGGGCTGTTATGTCCTGTGACCTTCTCCCAGGAGCCGTGGAGGTCATAGGCCATAAGGCTGATGAAATCCAGGTTCCTGCAAGAGGCACAGACAGAGGGGGTGAGGCATGTGATGGGGGGAGCCCCCTTCCTCACCCCCACCCCATGGTGCACGGCCCAGGAGGGACCACTGTGGTCCGAGGCAGGGGTGGCGGGCTCCCCTCTGGCTCTGTGGACGATGACATAGACAGCACCCCCAGGCAGCCCCCCTTATCACGGCCATTCTCATTCAAACTGAGAGACTGGCGGCTCATGTCTTGTGTCCCGCCAGCACCCTCAGGCCCTCCCTGTTCCACTCAGGAAACCTCTTGTTATTTTGCTGTTTTGGAAAGAACTCTAGCTCAGTTGTTTCTTAAACTTACGTGTGCACACAAATTGCCCAGGAATCTCATCAAAATGAAGGTTCTTATTCAGTAGACCTAGGGTGGGGCCTGAGAGTCTACATTTCTAACAAGCACCCGTGTGTTGTGGGGGCTGCGGGTCCACACAACACGCTTTGAGGAGCAAGGATCTAGACGACTCACTCTCTTGGAGATGCTGGGGGGTTCGTCCCCCTCCCCGGGGGTGCTTTCACTCTAACAGTGCGTTCCCAGGGAAGATGGCAGAGGTCTCAGGGTGGAAAAGCAGACACAGTGGGCAAACCCTGCCAAGTTTGCTGGCGGAGGGAGGGGCTCTCCCAAATGACACCTTACACCTGACACCTGCTCTACCCCCAGGGAGCTCAGTCTGCCCGGCCTCTCCCACCTCGGAGAACACAGGTCCAGCACATGTGCCTGAGACTCACTGGGCAATTTTGTCCACCTCATATCCAGCATCCACAAGGGCTGGCCCGGCTGGGACGGCTGCACTCAGGAGGAGTCGCTCCTTCCTTGAGGTCTGGGCTTCTTTCTGGAATGTGCTGGCCAAGTCCTGTGGGGTCAGCTTTGAGTAAACACAGAGGCAGGCACCAGGCAGGCCCCGTAGGCCTCACATAGATAGATGTTCACTCGCGGGAGTCTGAAAACTGACCAGTGGCCTGATCTGTGCTGTGCAAATATGTAAAACAGCTGACCCTAGGGACAGAGCAGCACCCATGTGCTCTGGGTGCCTGGGCGGCCTGGCGACCCCTGCCCTGCCCGGCCATACCTGCACCAGGGCCGTGAAGCGCTCCTTGTCCACGGCAGGGCTCCCCCGGCTTCCTGGGAACTCCCAGTCAAGATCAAGGCCATCAAAGCCGTATTTGCGCAGAAACTCGATGGCTGAGCTGATGAAAGTCTGGCGGTTGTTGGCTGTGGCCACCATCTCTGTGAACCTGTGAGGTGGTGAAGGGGAGTATGGGCCTGCCTTGGACCAGAAAGGGGCTCTCTCCTGCTCAGAGGCGAGCGGAAAACCACTCAGGATGTTGGTGTTCCTGGTTCCAGCCCTCCTCCAGCGCGGGGAGGCATGTTTGGAGGCTGCTGGGGTATTGCTGGTGAGTTTTGGATCTGGTTAAGGGAAACAGACCATCTAGAAGCACTTTCCACCCCTAAACATTGACACCACCAGGGCCACGTTGGCTCCCCGGGAGTCCTGCTTCCCTGCAGAAGTTTACCAGTTTCTACGATGAAGAAGAGAGAAGCGCAGCAGGGTTAGCAAAGGCCTGGTGGCATGGGGAGCCTGCTGCTCTAGTTTCCTGAAGGTTAACCCAGTCATCTTTCCTCTAACTCCCCTCTGTAGAGTGCATTGTGCTATTATTACCAGTCCAGAGCTCTTCCAAATCCCCGGGCTGCCCCAGGAGCCACCTTTCTTGGTGGCCCTACGAGAGTCTCTGGACTTCTTGGGGGTCTCAAGTTCTTTACAGACTGATCCTATTTTAAGACATTTTTTAAAATTTACAATTTAATTAATAGCAGCAGTTCTTAAGTGGGGCCCATGTGCCTGGGGACGCCAAGTTAAAAGTCCCTGTATTTTAATGAAAAATCTGTGTATAAGCATTATTTTGGGAAGATGAGTCATAACTTTCATCAAATTCTCAAAAGGGTTGATGATCCAAAAAAGTTTTAGAAAAACTGTCCGTTATTTCCATAAATTATCAAACGTGTCCCAGAAATGCCAAAGTTTTGGCGTCTAAGCTCCATCTCACAGACTACCTGTTACGCCCAGAAGTGGAACAAAAATTCTTTCTCAGACAAGGTATCCCATTTCAGAGCTCAGAAAACACAGACTCTGTATGTTGTCTAGGATTAGTTAAGACCCTCCCTCTTCCCATTTCACAGAAGAAGAGGCTGAGGACTGGAGAGATCAGAACTCTCTGTGCTGTGTTTAGATCTTGTGCTTCTGGCAAGACTGGGTTTGGAACAGCCTGGAGCTAAGCCCACTCCCCGCTGCCCTCCTGATGGGGCACCAAGAACCCACCAGGAAAGTCAGCCCCCAGAGTGCAGCTTCCCTCCCCCTCCCGCTGGCCACCCATTAGCCCGGCCCAATTCCCCGACCAGGTGGTCAGTGTTCCAGGTCCCCATCCAGGGACTCTGCCACACAGGTGCCCCCACTCACTTCTGAGTGCCGAAGCTCCAGCCCCCAATGGCTAACAGAGTCTTCAGCTTGGGATTCCTGGGAAAGACAACAGACACGGCAGAAGTTACGGGGCCAGCTCCCAGGGCTCCCTGGTAGGGGTGATGGGGTGGGCGGGGACCACGGTGGGAATGCGTAAAAGTCCCTGTGCGCAGAGCCTGTACTGAACACTCCGGGAAAGCTGTAGCTTGGGAAAGAAAAGACACATTCCTGACTTCAGGGAACTCCTGTCTAAATGGGGAGACACAGCCCGTGTGTGCAGACACAAGGAATTCAGGAAGCAAGCGATTGGGGCGGGTCCTCAGAGGCTTTGTGTAGGTGGCCATCACACTCGAGATGCAGGGTGAGTAGATTTCGGGAGGAAGGGCATTCCGGAAGAGGGAAAGAGTGTCACTATTCGGAGTCCACTGAGACCTAGACTGGAAGGGCCCTTTAGGAGTCTGGATCTATCCCCACCTCTTCCATTAAGCACAGGAAAGCCCACTGAGTGACACGACTTGCCCAAAGCCACGCAGCCAGTCTGTGCAGGACTGCAGTGCTGGGGCAGGTTTCTGGCTCTGAGAGGAGGAGGTGTCTGTCCCCTCGGGCTCCCGTCTCCCCTCCTCTGCTGCGGCTCACATTTTCTTCAGGCCGTTGAACGCCTGGTAGAGAGCCTCGTCATTCCACTCGATGGTGCTGAGCTGGTGGTTGTTCATGCCGGCAAAGGCGTAGACAAGGTGGGTACACAGGTTGGGGTTCACGTCCTTGGGCAAGAAGCGAGCTGCCCCCTCTCTGTACTGGGACCAGTTGGTGAAGTAGCAGACCAGTTTTGCAGCAGAGCCTGGCCAGTGGGGCGAAGATAAGACACGGCTGTCAGAAGGGCCTGCTGGGGACAGGTGCCCTGCACCCCAGGGCAGGGGGTGCCCCTGTGTGTCCTTCTTATACACCTGGGCTAAGCCGAGGGACCGGCAGTCAGAAATGGTGTTTGCTTTTGTTTGGGTAGCACCTCACAGTTAGGAAAGGATTTCCAGGGGCTGGTCATGGGATGCTCAGAGGACCTGTGAGAGGGCAGGACCCTTGTCATCGCACCGGTAAGGAAGCTGAGGCGCAAGAGCTGGAGAGCCAGAGCACGGCCGCTAAGAGGCCAGAACAGGGCAGCTAGGACCCAGTCTCCTGACCCTTGACACCCCTGAAAGTGGCCAGGCTCAGAGCCTGGGGCCCCGGGGCCAGGGTCTGGCAGGCAGGCCCCCTTCCCCCTAGGTGGGCGCTCCTCTCCAGGCCCTGAAGCCGCCCAGAAGGCAGCCCCCGTGCAAGGCCCAGAGGGGATTCAGCATGGCAGGCTCATCTGCTGGAGGAAGGGGGCAAGACTTTCAAGACACGGCTTGGAATACTTCCGAATGTTAAGTAAAACGCAAATACACAAAATAGCAGAGAAGAGGCCCCGTTACAGGCCCGGGTTTACGTTTCTTTAGGCTCGTGGTTTGCGTTTACTTCATTGGCTTGTTATCCCTTGCCGAGAATCTGTGTTCATCAATATCACTGCTAAGATTCTAGTAAAGAGCTTATTTTATCTGGGAAAAGGCAGTTCGTCTCTGGCACCCCCTACAGTGTGGAAAGACTTTGGGCGGGGGCGGGACTCTGTTCCCAGTGGGGGTCTAGTGGTGATGGCCCCCACTCAGGGCAGCTCTGTAGGACACCAGAAAGCATAACACTAGTCTCATTCCTGCATCTGCCAGAAGTGGCCGTGTGGGCTCTGGGGTCTCGTCTGGTCTGGCGTTCTATGATGGCGTGGTTTGTAAGAGTCAACGTTTTATGGCAGGGCCTTGGTGGAGTAGTGAGTTTGGACTGTAGACCCTGGGACTTTCCTTTGCCCCAACAGAGTGTCTCTGTACCCTCTCCAGCCCCCACATGGCCAGTGAGAAGGTGGAGGAGGGGGAGAAAAGTGAGAAGCAGCTGTAGGAGGGTTTCCGGAAGAGAAAGCCCAGGCAGGCCCCAACGGGAACCCAGGAACATGAAGGGCCAACCCTGGGCCCACAGACGGCTCCAGAGGAGGAGAAGGAAGAGCTCTTGGGTAGTCTCTGACCCTAACCAGTGGTCACCCAGGGGTGGAGTTTGCTGGTGGAGGCTGAGGGTAGCCTGCAGAGGTACAGGAGGGCGGGTGAACTCCTCAAAGCAAAAGGAGGAAAGAGGTGATTAGCCCAGAGAATACATCTCCCAGAGCATCTAGGAAGGAGCCAGGAGGCTCTTTTTCTATCATATCATGTCATATAACAAATATCATGTATGGATTTTTGTGCTATAGAGGCAGTAAAGTGGAATGTCAATACTTGGGTTGAAATCCCAACTCTGCAACTTGCTAGCTATGTGACTCTGCTTCCTTCTCGTGAAATGGGTACAAGCACTGCACCTCACGCAATGTGCCTCAGTGGACTCACTACAGAGGCTAAAAGTTAACACAGTCACGCATTGCTTAACGGCAGGGATACATTCTGACAAATGCATCATAAGGCAGTTTCGTCATTGTGTGAAAATCAGAGAGTGAACTTACGCAAAGCTGCATGGGACAGCCTACTGTACCTCTAGACCATACGGCATAGACTGTTGCTCCTAGGCTACAAACCTGTACAGCAAGTTACCATCCTGAACACTGTAGGCCACTGTAACACAATGATAAGTATTTGTATATGTAAACACATCAGAAAATAGAAAATAGATAGTAAAAATATAGTATAAAAGGTAAAAAATGGTGCACCTGCATAGGGCACTTACCATGCATGGGGCGTGCAGGACTGGGAGTTACTCTGGGTGGGTCAGTGAGTGAGCAGTGAGTGCATGTGAAGGCCCAGGACGTTACTGTACGCTACTTAGACTTTATAAACTCTGGAGGCTACACTAAGCATAAAAACACGAGGTAATTGTGCTACGCCATCACAAGGAGATAGGAATTTTTCAGCTCTCTTATAATCTCATGGGGCCACTGTCATTATGTGTGGTCCCTAGTTGACCAAACTTTGTTACACAGCACATGACTGCACGTGTAAGACACTTAGAAGAGTGCGGTATAGAGTAAGCGCCATTCTAGGTGTTTTATGTGTGTTAACCCTCAGTCCACACAAACTCTCATTATCGCCACTGTGCTTCAGCAAACCCCAGAATTAGCCAGGAATCGGGCTTTTTGAGAGAGCTTCGGCCTCCCTGTGTTCCCCATGCTTGCGACTTCCCTGAGCTTAGGTGAGACCGAAAGGGGAAATGTGGGCCCAGGACCACAGCCCGGCCTGAAGCAGGAGCAGCCACAGGACGAGGGTCTGAGGGCCAGAAATTCCGGGGCCACTGGTGCCCAGAGAGCAGGATGGGAGGAGCACCGGGGAGTCCGAGTTGCTGAACCCCAGAGATCTCTTTTCTGTTTGGCACAGGAAGGGCCCCTCCTTTGCTGCCACACCCCACATTCGATGAGTTCAACAGTTACAGGAGCAGGTGTGTGTTCTACAGTGAGCTGAGGGGCTGGGGACTCTCTGCTGGGGAAGACGTAGGTCCCTTACCTCCAGGAGCCCAGAGTCTGGTGGGGGAGACGCCTTCGCCAGCAATTGCAGACCCTGTGACACATACTGTAAAATGTGCCCAGGTGCTGCGAGAGCACAGAGGTGGGGGCAAGTGACCTCAGAAAGACCTGAGAGAGACTGGCGTGTAAGCCGGCCCACGGACATGCAGGAATTCAGCTAGTCGATAAGGACACAAGAATCTTCCTGGGAGAAGTGAGGCCAGGGCTGCTGGGGAAGGAGACATTTGCAGGAACTGAGCTTTGGAGAAGAGCTCCCACTGAAATCTTGCAAGAGCTCTTGGGCTGGGGGCGAGTTGGGGAGAGGTATCTGGGAATGTAGCAAAGCCCAGGGCGGGGGCTGAGAGGACCAAGGACCAGCCTCAAGAAAGATGCCACTTACCCCAGTGGATCACCAGCAGCACCATGAAACCTGAAGCAACACAAGAGAGAAGGCCGAGGTTACTCAACATTCTCACCTTCCCAGGCTCCGTAGCTTATGAAGCACAGGAGATGGAGGGGGTCAGGGAGGGCTGGTTTCAGGGTGGTTTCATACAAATAAGCTTTCTCCTTCCAGAGGGACCCAGGAGGGCACTGTGTCCATCCTTTCACCCAGGCCAGACAGCGAGGGCCCTTTCCTGGCCTGTGCTGGTCCCAGAAGCTAATGGAAACTTCCATGGGCTAAAGCTGCCCCATTGTTAGAGCCTCAGTGGAGGGTGGTGTGGATTTAGGAAGATTGTGGGGAAAGTGCTGACTTGAGAGCTATCCAGAGCGAAAGCTTCTCTTTGGGAACAAGAAGAAAATTTGTTCTGGGGCTAGCAAGAACCAATCTGGAGGAGCTGGACCAGGAGAGTCCCTCTCCTGCTGAGGCCCCTGTGCCTCTGCTCCCACCATGTATGGCTTTCTGCGGCTTCCACTGCCTGACTGGGTTACCAGCATCCTTGGGCATCTAGGGCTCAGCAGGACTCCTTCAAAGAGATTCCTTTCACCTGGTGACCTGTTAACCTAATAGAACCTGCATGAAAATTTTCAAGGACACTGGGGTCATGGCCCCCAGGCTGCCTTCTTGCAGGACAACCAACATGGATTTGGGGAAGAATCTCGTAGCAGTGGGTGCTTCTTGGATAAGGCCAAAAGTAGGGATCTAAGACATGGGAAAGGCAAAAAGATCCAACGCAGGGCCTCACTGACTCTGGTCTTGCAGGACAGAAAGAGAAGTCATCTTCAGCCTGTTGAGAAAAGACTTCCCTTGCAACACAAAGGCTCTTGGGCTAAAAGAGCCCAAGGGGAGCCCACAGGAAAAGTGATCATGGGACTGCAATCCAGGAGGCAGGGAGAGGGATCGAGTGACCCTTGGCAGTTCTCTTGAGCCCTCCTGCTTCCTTGTAGACGGTGGCAAGGAGCCATTGGACACACATCTCCCCGCCTCCCCATGGCTCCCGAGGCCCCACCCACTCTCCCTGACAGTGCCGGCTCACCTGCCCAGGCCACGGACCACGCCATGTTGCGGCTCGGTGGCAGGCTCCGGCCCGTGCAGACCAGCTTTCCAGGTCCTGCTCTGTTCGTATCTGGCCGCCCTGTCCCGCCCCAGCCAGGAGTGTTGGCATCAGGCGGACAGAGGGAGGAGAGAGAAGGGGCTGGGAGAGGAGCGGGGAGGGGTAGAATGTCAAGTAGCATGGATTGGGCAAACCTGACACAATGGCCAAACCTGACACAATGGCCTTTAGCAATTCTTGCTTTTCTGGAACAATCACAGGGTGTACACAGGACTGTTAGTGTTGCCAAACTGGGAGGCAAAGAGGAAAGTGGGAAGTGTTTCTAAATCTCCTGTTGGATGACCATGACTCTGATTTTTCTTTGCGTGGGTTGCCAAGGACTATAAGGGAGGAAGAGGAAGGCCTCATGATCGAGCCAGGGCGCTGGGTCCCAGACCAGCCTCTGGCTTCTCCACTGCCCCCTCTGGACCTCAGTTTCCCCATCTGTAAGATAATGGGATTGCAAATACAATTTATTTTCCACAATAGTAGTATTTTATTACTATCCACACGATAGTAATATTTTTATATCCATCGATTGAGAAAAAATTCATAATGATGAATAGCAACTGTGTTAGTAATAGTTTTCAATGCTTATGTTTCTTATGAAGAATCACGGATACCCGTGTTAGTTTCCTAGGGCTACTGGAACAAATGACCACAAACTGAGTGATTTAAAACAACGGAAATTTATTCTCTCACAGTTTAGGGGGTCAGAAGCCTGAGGTCAAGTGTGGGCAGGGCCACGCTTCCTCCGAAGGCTGCAGGGGAGGATCCTTCCTGCATCTTCTGCCTTCGATGGCCCCTGGCCTTCCTTGGCCTGTGGCAGCACCATCTGATCTCTGCTGCCTCATGTTCACGTGGCCTTCTCCCCACCATCTCTGTATGTCTTCTCCTTTCTCTCATAAAGTCACTCTAATCCAGGATGATCTCATCTTGAGAACTTACCTTCCTTTTATCCACAAAGACCCTTATTCCAAATAAGGTCACATTCTGAAATTCCGTGTGGAGGTGTCTTGGGCGGGCCACCATTCAACTCACCACAGGACGTAGGTGGGTTCATATTACTTATACTGTCTGCAGACAATGTCTGGTGCATGCACAAAGTCCAGGGTCCCTGGAAAAACTACAGCTTCTAAGGGATCAGGTCCTTGGTGCTTGGAATTAACATGAGTGGTCTGGGTGGCTCAGTGAGAGTGGCAGGTGGTAGCAGGCCCTGGAGTCAGGTTCCTGGGTTTGAATACCAACCCTGCCATGTCCTATCTGTGTAACCTCGAGTGAGTCCTTTAATTTCCCTGAACTCCAGTTTTTTCATCTGTAAAGGGAAATCCTCAGAGGATTGCCAGGAAGGCATCTCATGTCTGTAGCTGGACTGTCCACAGCCAGGCAGAGCTGGGCCTCTCCCCAAACACCTCTATGTGTTGAGGAACCCACCCACCTCCTCAAGTCACCCAGGACACGTCCTTGATCTTTCTCTTTTTCTTGCCCTTAATGATCAGGTACTACTATCCGTCCTCCCTCCTGTTCTGTCTCCTCCACCACCTCCAAACCATCCTTGGCTCTCACCCTGTCCTTTCAGAGCCACCTACCTGGCCCCTGCTTACTTCTCTTGCCCCCCACAATCCATTCTCCACATCGCAGCCAGGGTGCTCTTGGAGAAACTTAAATCAGATCCTATATCCTGTTACTTTCCTGCTAAGACCCCTCCGTGGTTCCCACTTGGAATCAAATACCAAGTCCTTTGTCTCTTGAAAATTCCGAGTCTGTTCTTCCATTAAGGTTTGGCACCTGCCCTTGCCTCTGCCTGGAATGTTCTTCCCGTGATTTTTGCACAGCCGGCTCCTTCTCCCCAACCTGGCTGTTTCTGATCACCCGTATAAAGTAGTGCCCTCCCTCAAGTCACTCTCTGTCCTGTTCTGCTGATTTATTCTCTCCCAAGTACTTTCATGAGCTGAATTTATTCATTCATTCATTCATTCATTTACACGTACTGTCTGTTTCCTACCATAGAATGTAAGCTTCACGAGAAAAGGACTTTGTCTTGTTTATTTTTCTATCTCTAGTACCTGGAATATTTCTCAGCATGTAGTAGGTGCTTAATCCATATCTATTGAATGAATGAATGAATGAATGAATGAATATGGCCTCCAAGGCTCTGCATGATCTGGGCTGCTGTGATATTGTGATATGATAAGAAATATACATTTGATCTCCACCCCCGATTTCTGGCACAGACCTCCTAAAACGCTTGAAATTTCCTGTAAGACAGGGGTCCTGGGTGTATCTTTTGCTCTGATATTTGTTCTTTGGCCCTGGTTTCTGACACAGAGCTCCTAATACTTTGGATTTTCTTGGGTGCCAGGAGTGTCTTTTGTTCTGCGGCAACTCTTGGTGGGCTCCTGGATGGGGGCTGGTCACCAGAAAGACAAGCCATGAGTATTAACAGAAGCTTGGAGCTTTCAGCTCCACCCCCCCCATCCTCAGGGAAGGAGAGAGGGGCTGAAGACTGAGTTAATAATTGATCACGCTTATTTGATAAAGCTTCCATAAAATCCATGAACTATGGGGTGCGGAGATCTTCCGGTTTCTGAACACACGGAGGTCCTGGAAGGTCCCGGAAGGTGGCACAGACTCGCCGTGCCCTTCCCCCACACATCCCCTGTGCATCTCTTCATCTGTATCCTTTGTAATATGCTTTGTAATAAATGGGGAAACATAAGTGAAGTGTCTCCCTGGGTTCTGCGAGCCATCCAAGCAAATTATCGAACCCGAAGAATTGTGGGAACCCCAATTGGTAGCTGGTTGCTCAGAAGCTCAGGTCACAACCTGGGACTTGCGATCGGTGTCTAAAGTGGGGGCAGTCCTGTGGGGCTGAGCCCTTAACCTGTGGACTGGTTAGGTCGTGTCAGAATGGAATTAAAGTATGGGACACCCTGGTGGTGTCTGCTTAAGAACTGCTTGGTGTGTGGGGAAGACCCCAGAAGCGAGGTGTTGGAAGTGACTGTGGGGACAGTCGGAGAACAGTCAGGTTTCCCATTAGGCCACCCAGCTCCTTTGCGGCCTCACGTGTCCCCACACCCGGGCGCTCTGGTCCTAGTTCTTGTGTCTCGCCCTCCCCTCCCCCACATCGGGATCTTGCACAGCCGGTTCCCTCTGCCTGGGGTGTGTTCTCTTTCTTCTCATCTTCAGGTCTTATCTCTGCTGTCACCTCCTCAGGAGGCCTCTCCTGTATGTCCCCACCTCTCTGTGGCAGGTCACTCCTGCTACTGAAGCCAGTGTGCTCTTTTCCTTCCTAGCCCTCATGTTTATTTTGTGAGTTTGTGTTTAACGTGGCTCTTCCCAGACTGGAAGCTCCGAGAGCAGGCACCGGGTCTGTGTGTCCACTGCCACGCACCAACAGGCAGGGGCCAGCAGAAAGAACAGGCCTCACTCAGGATCTGTTGAGCGAGTTGATTATCAAATGTTATTTCTTCAACGTCCCTCAAGACCCGATGTCAAGCGCTTAGTAAGTAGCTGGTTGCTGTGAGATGTGCAAACCAGCCCTTATTTGCAGAAGCCGTTCTCCCCACCTTGCAGCTAAGGAGAGAGAAGACAGAGAACTTGCAAACTCGCCAGGGCTGGAATGGAGACTTCAGGTTCTTCCCTTTCCATCTGGGTATGGTTGGAGGGGCCCGAGTCCCAGGCAGGGGAAGAATTTGTGGCTGCTGGCTAAAGGGGACTTCGGTCATGCTGAAATTCACATCCTGGAGTCAGGACAGAGGGCACATTGAATTCTCTCTAGCTATGCAGGTCCTGGCTTTGCCTGTCTAAATGTCAGCATGTTTCCTGTTTCTAGTGGACCATATCCAGTGCAAGCTGCTTCTCTTGCCAATAACAGGTTTGAGCCTGAGGCAGTTGGCATGCAGTGGGTACCAGGACTCAGAGGGGAGGGTCGGGCCTGGGTGGCGAGTGTGGGCCAAGACCAGTCAGACCCACACCCCTCCCTCACCTGCCTTGCTCAGATGCCTGACTTCCCGTCATGGACTCCTCTCCTCCGCCTCCCTCCTTTCTCCCTTTCTCCCCTTCTTTCCCTGTCTCCCTCTTTTCCCCCTCATTTATTTGTATCTACATGTAATTATTGATGCACAATAATAATATTCATCGTAACGTTTCTTAAAATAGCATAAACCTAACACTGTCTCAAGTGCCACCAATGGGAGCCTGGAATTCTATACATGCCCCATTAGAAAGAAACAAAGATTTCCTCAATGTACTGTTAAAGGAAAAGAGAAAGCTGTGCCCACTGCACACAGCAGATTGAACACAGGTATTTACTCTGCTTTCTTCTGACAGCCCTCAAAATAGAGGTTAAAGGAATAAAATGGTATAAATCCACTAGGATAAAGCAAATAGAAGAGGGGACCAAAACAGACAGGAGACGTCAACAAATGTTTGGAAGATGAAACAGAATGAACAAGGGGAACTGGCTTAGCTGACCCGAAAAAGCTGACACCTCACGCTGCAGGTGGGGAAGCCCACGGGAAGCGAGAGACTCACGCCAAAGAACCCTGGAAATGTGCAGGAGTCAGCAGAGAGTTGCAAAGTGGGCTGAAGCTGACAAAAGTGAATGTGGGAGACTTGTCAGACCCCCAGATCTTCTTTTTCATCCTCACTAAATATGATTGCAGACTTGGGAACAACTGCTCCAGCAGAGGGTGGAGGGGACTGGGGTGGGTGGGGATGCTAGACTGAAGGCTGGGACAGAGGACTGGGGGATTAAATGAAAGTCTGCACACAGGATGCTCAGACTCACCAGCCTTTCCCCCCACTAGGCTCCCAGAGCCCCAAGCAGAAGATTGAAAAATTCGTCTCAAGGAAAGCTGATCAGCCTAGGAGAAAAGTCACTGAAACTCAGACTACCAAAACTCAGATGACAGCCGCGTCCCTCTCCATCACTCCAAGGTGGGGCCCTCGGATAAGATGCCAGCGAAGTCCCCAGAGCTTCCAGCTTGCTTTTAATGACTCACTATTGCACACGGAAGAAACCAGATCCCCAGACTTACGAGGAAAGATCAAAAT